GCGGGAAGAGCTGTCAGGCCTACAGCATTAGAGATGCAGAAAAATGTTTCAGACATAAAAGGTGTGGAATCAAGAGGGCTACAGAACTGCTGTTTCGGCTTTTCAAATTTTTTGAATTTTGACCCCCCCCCAAAAAAAATTGAATATAATAGCCAAAAAATCCAAAAAGTTTTTTGAATTTCGAAAAAACCGGAAAATATATGATAGGCCCTACCGCCTTCTATCTACAAACCAAATTTGAGATCGATACCTCTTTTTTTGGCCAAGTTATAGCGAAAAAAACTTCAAAATTGATGACGTCAAATTCTCCAACTCAATTTTTAGCCATTCTAGACCTCGTAGCGCAAAACAAAGACCACCATTAGACTCCCCGTGACGAGCTGCATCGAATCAATACCCATTTTATGCAAAAATATCAACTTTGAAATTTGACCTTTTTTGACCTGACCTTGACCTGACCTCCACCAAAGTGACCTAAACCGTACCTGATGGTCTTATAACCAACACCATTGAGTTGGAAATGAAAAACTGGCCATAAAACATGCATCGCATAACCTTAGTAAAGTTGCGCTCATGTGGTGACCCTTGATGACCTTTGGTGACCTGACCTGGTATGACCAGTGACCTCTAATAGCAACATATGTACTAGACAACTGACGTCTTATCGCTGATTTTCGACAAAATGCGTTTTACTCGGTGTTATAGCGCTTTCCCTAGAAGCCCCGTGAACGGTGAAACATTTTATCTTTGACCTGACCTGTGACGTCATCGGTGACCCCGAGGTCAATGAAATTTGGTTTCCTTCGACAAATTTGACAGGGCTATCGAACGCCGTTTGAATTTTCCGGATCCGTCCAGTATTTTCGGAGATACGGGGGGGGGCAAAAATTCCCCCCCCCCCCCACCGCGCGGAAGGTGGCTGGTAGGCCCACCGCCTGCCGGGTTAAAATCGGGTATCAATCTCTGCATCTTGTAACGGCACACACGCTCGTTTTTCCGCGACGCGCTAGCTCCACCAGGGGCGAAACAGCGAGGTGGTCGTTATTGCCCCCCCCCCCCCTCGGCCGGCGCGTATGTAGAAAACCAATAGGTCCGGCGAGTGATATACAGTATGCAGTGTACAGCTGTTGGCTGTATACAGTAGCATCCCGTAGTTAAAAAGTAGTAGGAACTCGTCCATATTCCGTAATATGAACAATAATTGGCAGGCTCGCAATCTATCAAAGCATCTTTATCCGGTGCGAGCGACTTTAGCGAGTGTCTTTAGAGCGAACGTCATTTGAGCGAACCATTTTCAGGGAATGGCAATTCAGCGATTATCAAGTTAAGCGATTATCAAATATAACGATTATCAATTTTAGCGAAAGCTATGTTTCAGCGATACCTATTTCGTCGACTACAATGTGAGCGACTGTCAGTTCAGCGAAACACTTCATCGTCCTATTACGGTGTATTTTTTTTTTTACTTTTGCCAGCGCATACGTATAATAGTAAAGTAACCTTGCGTACGAATGTTTTCGGAATTTCTCATGGTTATCCGGAACTGGATGGCGGATGTCACGTTCTAAGGTCAGATATTTAGTTCCAAATTTAAAACTACATTTCTCAAAAAATTTCAACGGTTCAATTTCACTCCCCTGCTCTTTGCCAATAATGGTGACCAAACATTTGTTCAGAGATTCATATCGCTTGCGCTGTTTTTCACGAAATTCCCCCGCTTGAATTTGGATCAGTTCCTATGTTGTAAAATTTGTTCTTGCCCCAAGCACCGTACAAATTTCCAGGTATTTGGGTGAGGTCCCTGAAACATAGACTGGATTCCCCTGTGCCATCTCTCGAGTTTATTATTGGTCCTTGGCATTCCTTCCGTCGTCCTATCTCTCACATTCCACATTTTCAATTCAAATTTTGCCCGCCTCCTTCCCCTCCCACCCCTTGTTGGTCGTCCGATGTATGTGTCTTCAAATGATGCGTAAAGAGGTGCAATCAAGGCCATCTATAGAAGGTACAGTCACTCCCCCGCCGACCAATCAGAGACAGATCCTGAGTGACGTCACCCCTGATGCTCGCAAGGGGTACTCCATTCCTTTCAACGTAAAAATGACTAACTTCATTTGAAGATTATTGATGGCACTCTACACATACCGCTCAGCCGTTGATGTCAATGGAAAGCCCAACTAATTTTCCAGCGACAAAAAAGAGCAGCAATATGCTAAGAAATGGCCGGTTTTGAAGATATAGACGATTCAAAAACCCTCTGCAGCAGCAGGAAAGCAACGTAAAAACGCATCGAGCTTATATTTTTACTATGGATAATTCATTTTTCAGTAAGTTTTTAGATATGGTATAGATTTGAGTTACAACTTTATTACAATATCTTCATTACTTGAAACTTTATTTCAAAATAATATTTTCAAAAATGGCAGCTGTTGGCCAGTAGCTTGGAAGCGATTGTGGCGCACCGCGCCACTAATTGTCCTGAGGCCCCCTTATGATGTCATCAAAAGTGGAGTGACATGGGCCTGGGTGCAATAATTTTCAAATTACTTTGTTCCCGAAATTCATCCAGCTGCTCAAAACTATTGACCACAAGCTGAGAAGGAAGAAATGCCGGAAAGCCAATGACTTAAAAGCAAATTTATATTTTGCCGCGTGCAGCTTGAAGCATGACACCTACCAAACGGGTATTCCAAGGGCAAGAATTTCCGAGAAGTAGCAAATGATTGACTTTTGTCGCGTTCGGTTTCGCTGTAACTGCATCGCTCAATTGGTCTCCCATTGACCACCATATACCTACTCGCTCAATCTGGTTTCGCTGATTTTGGTCCTCGCCAAAGTTGATAATCGCTGTGATTGAATTCGCGGACTTGACAATCGCTGAAAAGGTCAATCGCTTAAATTGATAATCGCTGAAAATGTTTCGCTAAAATGTCGTTCGCTGAAATGACGCTCGCTCAGGTGTCGCAGAACCATCTTTATCGTGACGAAAGGAAGGCATTTGAAATGGATCGTAAATTTGGCAAATAACGTTGGTTATCTATGTTGGTAGGTAATAGGTATGCAATACTGCATTGTTGTTTCTAGAACAACAAGTACCTAATTTGTTGCAGAAAGACGCGGATCGCTTGTAAAAGTGTCTCGTTTGGCGCGCGATGATTAATTCAAGAAAATGATTGCTTTGGACTGAAAAAGGCGAACTTTTGGTGTGATGCTGAACGAATAAGAATGATTTGCTTTTTTGTGTTTTTCATTCACCGTAAACATATTTGTATTAAATATATCGCGGAAATGTGTTATTAAACTTTTACGTTAAAACCGGCAAAAACAGTAGAGATGTTGAATAGGAGATGTTGAATAGAGCCAACATTTAATGGTCCTCCGGGCCGGATCATTTAACGTAACAGTACGAAAATAATGAAAGGGTGAGTGAAGCACAAGAACGCTTATCGCTGAAGACTAGGAGTGTGGCGGAGTCCACTCGCACGGCATCCTCAAGCAGAAGTGACGTGTGGAAAAGAGCACAGCTTTCCCAACTCAAGGCAGAGCAAGCGAAGAGGGCTGCAGTGGCTGCTATGAGAAACGCCGAGCGGGCTGCTGAAGCTCAATTGCAGCAAATAAGGGACCAGACCAACGCTGAAGCACAACGGGCCGCAGATCAAGCACAGCTAGACGCCCTGGAACTGAAGTTATTCGACCAGAGTGAAGCTCGTAGCACCTCAGTCAGATCAGTGAGAGAAAGGGAGCGTCGGTCAAGACTAAGATCTTCCGACAGCACGGAAGGGAAACGCGAGAAACTAGAGCTAGGACAAGAAGAGCCACAAAACAGAACAAAGGGCTGGATCGAAAGCCTACCAGTTGTGCATGGCTTAGGAAGGGAGTATCCAGCCCTCCCAAAGGTAGCCTTGGACAAATCCGACGGCTCACCACTTGAATGGCCCAGATGGAGCGCCCTATTCAAAACGCTAGTGCATGACAACCCGACGTTGACAGATACTGAACGCATGGTCCATCTGCAATCCTGTCTGACTGGTGACGCGCGCGATGCGGTTAAGGGACTACTTTGTAATGGAAGTCTGTACCATGAAGCGATGGACGAGCTGCAACTGCAGTTTGGTGACCAGAGCACAGTCGTAAGCGGCCTTTTGACGAGTGTGCTGCAGCTCCCGGTAGTACAACCAAACGATCTTAAAGCTCTGACTCACCTGTCACGAGCTCTGCATGCGGCTGTTAGTGTGCTGAATACGATGGGCTTTCAGGGTGATCTGACAGCAACTACGAACCTTCGTCAAGTCGTCTCGAAGTTGCCGACCTCCCTTGCTTGGCAGTGGGGCCAGAGGGAGATGGAGATGCTGCCAAGAGTGCCGACGCTGGTGGATTTGGACCTGTGGTTGAAGGATTTGGTGCTGGCTGGTCGCCGCGCCTTTCCAGGTCTGACCCAGCAAAGCCCGGCAGCGGTGGAACCGAAGCGGCATTCAAATAACAGGTCATTATCGCCCCGGGGGAGAGACCACAGGCGTCAGAATAACAACACCTGGCACACGACATTGAGCACTGTAGCCGAAATCGAGAATGTCTGCAAGGTGTGTGAGACGGGGGCTCACCAGGTAGGTGAATGCCCGACTTTATCGGCAATGACGTCAGAGGAGCGGCTACAGTGGGTGCGGGACAGCCGCCGCTGCTTTCGCTGTCTCAGTGACAAGCACTGGGTCAGGAAATGTCGAGAAAAACCAGTCTGCGGAGTGGCAGGATGCAAGGGAAGACATCACACTCTCCTTCACCGATCAGTGCCGGCCCCAGCTCATCCAGAACAGTCGGACAAAACAGCCACGGACCACCCAAGACACGTGATGACCACAGGCACTGACCGCCCGAAGCGAACCACGACCGTACTCCAGGTCGTCCCGATCAGGATACATGGCAAAAATGGATCATATCTTGACACTCATGCCATGTTGGACTCAGGCGCTGACACATCTCTTTGTGCAGAAAGCGTGGCCCGGATGCTGCAGATCACGGGACCCATGGACGAGTTACGGCTCAGTAATGTCGAATGCACAGGCGAGAGCAGACCATCCATGAGAATAAGGCTGCAAGTGTCACCGCTGACGTCAGACAGCGAAGCTGGGACGGTGACTATAACAGAAGCATTCACCGTGCCGACGTTGAACATCCGTCCGTCCACGGTGGACTGGAGCAAACGTGCTACCTGGAAACATCTGGCTGATATACAAGTGCCAAATACAAACCAGAAAAAGGTAGAACTGCTGCTCGGCGCCAATGTGCTAGAGGCTCTGGTACAAAAGGAAGTGAGGGTCGGGAAGCCAGGTCAGCCGGTAGCAGTCAGGACCCATTTCGGCTGGTGTTTGGCAGGCAACATCAGCAGTGTTCTGCCTGTGGCTGCAAGGGAAGTGATGCACATAGTCAGACATCGTTCTGAGGAGGAAGAGCTGACTGAACAGATTCAAGAATGGTGGAGCACAGAGGCTTTCGGCACCGCCTACAAGCGGGAACAGCCGCACTCGTGGGAAGATCGCCAGGCTGAAAACCAAATGAAGCAGACCACACAGTGGCGTGGAGACCGATATGAAACGGGCCTGCTATGGCGTTCGGAAGGAACTAAACTTCCCGACAACTACAACATGGCGTCACGGCGGCTAGAGACCACCGAAAGACTGCTGAAAAGGGCACCAGATAAAGCGAAGTCCTACCAAGAGACGATAGCTGAGTACGTCGCAAATGGATATGCTCGGAAGATCAGTGAAACTGGAACCCAGCCGGAAGGAGGTCAGATCTGGTACTTGCCACACCACGCAGTGACGAATCAAACTAAGCCCGGGAAGTTCCGGGTAGTGTTCGACGCGGCGGCAAAATGCTCCGGTGTGTCTCTGAATGAATGTCTCCTGACGGGCCCCGACCTGCTCAGAACCGTGCCTGGTGTGCTGATGCGCTTCCGTCAGCAGGCTGTCGCCGTAACCGCGGACATAGAGAAGATGTTCCTCCAGATCGGCGTCATAGAGCGAGATCAGTCAGTGCTGAGATTCCTGTGGAGGGATCTAGACTCCAGTCGGCCGCCTGATGTTTATCAGATGGACCGAGTCGTCTTCGGCGCACGATCATCGCCAGCTATGGCTAGCTATGTATTGAATCGCACGGCCGAAGATAAAGTCTCCAACACCCCAGTCGGAATGGTCGCAGCCAAAACCGTCAAAGAGAACTTCTACATGGATGACCTGGCAATGTCTGAAACGAGTGTCACAACGGCACTGGATACCGCCAAGGAAGTTCAAGCACTCGTCGCCAGGGGAGGATTTCGCCTCCGAAAGTTTCTCAGCAACAGTGCGCAGGTGCTGCAGGCTTTCCCAGCCGAAGAACGGATGTCAGGTGCAATTGACCTTAATTCAGCTCTGCCGGTGGAGAAGGTCCTTGGAGTAGCGTGGGACGCACAGCTAGACGAACTGTTCATCAGCACCCCGGCTATTATTTCAAAGAAGCCGACCAAGCGCGAAGTGCTTCGTGTCGTCGCATCGATTTTCGACCCACTTGGACTGGTGTCGCCGTTCACTCTTATCGCCAAACTGCTACTACAAGAACTGTGGGCGCACCACCAAGACTGGGACGCTGAAATTCCTGAAGACAGTCTCAGGAAGTGGACGGCATGGCTGGCCGACCTGCCGCGACTTGAAGACGTCAAAGTGCACCGCTGGTACGGAGCAAAGGAAAATGCAGTCATCAGACAGCTCCATGTCTTTTGTGACGCTTCGGCCAGCGCTTTCGGTGCCGTGGCATACATGCGACTGGTTTATCCAGATGGTCAGATTCACTGCGCCTTGATCATGAGCAGATGCAGAGTGGCGCCCCTGAAGAAGCTAACGATAGTGCGGTTGGAAACACAGGCAGCTGTACTGGCTGTACGTCTAGCTGCCAGTATTGAGGCAGAGCTGACCCTAGATGTGCAAGAGACCATCTACTGGAGTGACAGTCAAGTCGTCCTGAGCTACATCGGTAATGATAGCAAGAGGTTTCACACGTTCATAGCCAATCGTGTGGCTGAGATTCGAGACGCCTCCGAACCTTATCAGTGGCGACATGTACCCGGGGAACGCAACCCGGCGGACGACTGTTCACGTGGGGTGATGGCTGCCGATCTAACAAAGGAAAGCCGCTGGATCACAGGGCCAGACTTTCTCTGGAAGCCGGAGGAGCAATGGCCTGGCGACTGTGAGCGCTATCCATTGGACAGTAGCGACCCTGAGGCGAAAATCGTCCTGGCCTCTAGCGGTGTCATGGAAACACCACCAAGAATGCTGCCGGACGCTGTGAGATTTTCCAGCTGGAGCCGACTCCAGCGGACTACTGGATGGATTCTTCGGTTCTTGAACAACTATACTGCTTCTCATGCTCCAAACAGCGAGCTGAGTAAGCTAAGCGGACCGCTGTCCACGGAGGAGCTGCAACGCGCAGAAGCAACCGTCATTAAACAAGCGCAACAGTGCGGATTTGGTCAAGAAGTGGAGGCGCTAAAAGCAGGGAAAGCTGTGCCATCTGCCAGCCGTCTACAGCCGCTGACCCCTCAGCTGGACAAGAATGGCGTAATTCGTGTTGGTGGACGGCTGAGCAACGCACCGGTACCTGAGAGGGCGCGGCACCCGATCATCCTGCCACGAGACAACCGAGTGACAACGCTGATCATTCAAGCTGCACATCAACGTTTACTGCATGCTGGTGCAGATCAAGTACTGAATGAGCTGCAGCAAGAGTTTTGGATTCCTCGTGGACAAGCGCTGGTCAGGAAGGTGGTGCACGACTGTACCGTCTGTCGTCGCCGAAGAGCGTCACCGTGCCAACCGCAAATGGCAGATCTACCGGCGGCACGATTCGACATGCGTCACCCGTTCAGCTCAGTCGGGATCGACTATTTTGGACCGCTGCTGGTCAAAACCGGAAGAGGAAAAAAGGAGAAGCGATACTGTCTTCTCGTCACCTGCATGGCCTCGCGTGCAGTTCACATGGAGGTCTCTCAGTCACTGACGACGGACAGTTTCCTGCTGGCGTTCCACAGATTCACGGCGAGGAGGGGCCGGCCGGCAGAAGTGCTCTCCGACAACGGAACCAATCTACGAGCCGGAGAAAGGGAGCTGCGCAGGCTCTTACTGGCATGGAACCAGAATGCAATCGCTGATCGGCTGGCTCAAGACATGGTAAAGTGGCATTTCAATCCCCCCGCCAGCAGCGACATGGGTGGCGTCTGGGAGGCGATGATTGCCACCGTAAAGCGAGCACTGAGCGTAGTGCTTGGCAAGCTCTTAGTCACAGACGAAGTCCTGCGAACTGTCATCACTGAAGTAGAGGCGGTAGTGAACAGCCGTCCTCTGACATACGTCTCCACGGAGGTAGGCAGCTTGGAGGCGCTTACGCCAAATCATCTCCTTCTGGGAAGACCACTGATGCAGCTTCCACCTGATGTGACTGTGGACAACCCCTCTCACCATCGGATCTGGCGCCAGAGTCAGGCGCCCTCAGCCCAGTTCTGGAAGAGGTGGCTCCGTGAATACGTTCCAAATCTGGTCTACCGTAGAAAGTGGACGAGAGAAGACAGGAACCTGACGCCAGGAGACCTGATTCTTCTGGCAGAAGATGGCGTGCCTCGCGGACACTGGCCGCTTGGACGCGTGATTGAAGTGTTTCCTGGACGGGATGGTCGCGTCAGGTCAGCGCGGGTCCGTGTCAGGGGTGGAATCGTGCACCGTCCTGCCCGCAAGCTTTGCCTTCTAGAGGGGGCTAGCACCGAGTGAATGGAACCGCCCAGAACGTTTGTGAGGTGACCGCAGAGACCATCTGCCCTTCTGCCGAGGGGGGAGGATGTTGTTTCTAAAACAACAAGTACCTAATTGTTGCAGAAAGACGCGGATCGCTTGTAAAAGTGTCTCGTTTGGCGCGCGTGATTAATTCAAGAAAATTATTGCTTTGGACTGAAAAAGGCGAACTTTTGGTGTGATGCTGAACGAATAAGAATGATTTGCTTTTTTGTGTTTTTCATTCACCGTAAACATATTTGTATTAAATATATCGCGGAAATGTGTTATTAAACTTTTACGTTAAAACCGGCAAAAACAGTAGAGATGTTGAATAGAGCCAACATGCATTAAGTGTTTTTAGTCTTTTGGCGAGGCAAGCCGGTCCCGTTAGCTCAGTTGGAAGAGCGTTGAACTCCACGTGGTGAGTGAGAGCACGCGTTCCCGGTTATAACAGTCCGGGTGCGAAGCGCGACAGGCGCTTGACGTTTTTGGGCCTCCTGTTGCGGTTGGTGGCAGGCCGTAGCCAGGCGAAGTCAGTGAGGGGACCGGCTGTGCGCGGCTATGTGCGCACATTAAACTTTGGACTCTAAATTCTGCCATAGAACTGGAATTTGACGATCGGAGGGCAGAGGGCAGGGTCACTGCAACAAGCTTCGCTTAGCGGTGGCTCTGTCCTTGTGAATCCTCCCTATCAAAAGGTTCGGACTAAATTTATAAAAAGAAAAAAGAAAAGTTTCCAAGTTCTATCATCTTTCACTGTCGACTGTTAGACTGCTATAGCAAGTGCCTTTAAACCGCGCCGTGCTGATGGCCTGAACTTTCCGCCGAGTGCTGGGGGAAGGGAGCGTCGCCCCCTCCCCCCCCCCGTCTAACTTGGCTCCTGGGCAACGTAGCTTCGGTGATTTTTAATTTCAGGTCAAAAGTCAGGTCACCAGAGGTCATCAAAGGTCAAATTTAGTCCATTTCAATAATTTTGGAAACTGCCACCGGCTAACTCGGGAACCAATACTCAATAGAGCTACAGCGCCGCGGAAAAGCGCATTCGATAGCCCTTTTACAGACCTTTCTGAATAATGTTCTCAGATCTAATATCAGGTCAACGCAAGGGCGGATCCAGGGGGGCCAACGGGGCCATCCCCCCAAGACGGTCAAAGGGGGGCCATACTATCTTTTGCCCCCCCCCCCCCAAAGACATAAGTCAAGAAAACTAAAAAAAAATAAACATTCTCAAAGTTCCTATGCTGAAAAACTGGAATATTGCTTTGATGATTGAGTGACCTTCGGGCAAACGTGAAAAACTCTGCCAACCAGAGTACAAATGGCCTGTGCCGGCGAGGGTTAACATGTAGGAGAAATCGACATATCACATTGTTATTCGCATTCATAGGCACGTGTTCTGTATTGTGTACTGGTTGGTTTTAATTGCAAATTTGTTGGAAAATAAGATTGTCATTAGGCACTTTTTTAAAGAAAAGGGTATTTTCAACGTTTGCCTTGGCCAAATGTGTGATTCTTGTCAGAAAACTGAGGAATGATCATACCTAACAACACTGAGTATAATCAACTTCAGCTTGAGAGATTTCAGAAGCTTCTTAATAGCTGAAGCTTCTTCATAGTTCATTAACACTATTAACGTCTCATGCCTGAATGTATATGGATTTAAACCTCGCCCCCGTATTGGCGTTTTGTCAGCCGCGAACGTATAGGGGGGGGGGGGCGTTGCCCCCATTGCCGTTTGGCCGCTGATCGAGCTAGAGCTTCGCGAAAAAAAAACGAGCGTGCTGCCCGTGACGAGAGGAATACGATGAATTTAAGGTCCTAGGTCATTGGTTCATGGTTGACCTTCCAGGTCAGGTCAATGACCCAAAAGTCGGGAAAGTTGGGACCTGTTAAAGCGTCGTAAGTGTGGCTGAGCTTTTTCGGGGTGCTGATCACGAATATCGTATTAGTGTTGATCCCAGAAGCCACTAATACGATATTCTTGCATTGCATTGCAAATGCAAGATCTTCATGCATTTAGGCCAGGTCGGGTCAGGTCAACCAGTAGTGGTCCTGCCAGGTATTCGTAGTACGTGTCAACCGCATCTGACAGTTTCGTAACATGTTACGAAGGCACCAAACGTACTTCGTAAATGTTCAAATGGTTGCTGAATTCGAGTTCAGCTCCAAAAACTAGCCTAGAAACATGTAAAACTCGAAAAAGTGAACTGAGGTCCTCAAAGGTCAATGACCTGACCTGACATTCAGGTGACATTCACACCCATCCAAATGCATGGGACCAACATCATATCACATGTTTGAACGCTTGAAACCACGAAAAGACTGCAAACGCGCGGCTAATGCGAGCCAACATACGCCAAATCGCGATCCCGGCCAAACATGGTCTCGAGAAATAGGTCACAGGTCAAAGGTAACTTGGGTCAGGGTAATTAAAGTTTTAGGGTAGATGCAAAATTGATTAACTAGAGGGTACTGAAAGTTTAGTTTCGTCGCGATTAGCCGTTTTTACGCGAGTTATTCGCGAAAAACCGAGGGGGTCGGGGTCTGTTCGACCCCTCTCCCCTATACGGGCGAGGATTAACAGAGGAAGACACTAATTCCCCTTAGCTGTACTTGTTTTTGAAGTGTTTCAAGCGTCATTTTGAGAAGGTGCTTTATTCAGTTAGGGGTGCATGTGCACCCCTAAAACCCCTAATGCTCCACCATATGTCACTAACTAAACCCACTATTTGATGTTATTGTTACGCTGTGCTATCTGTTATTGTGTTACGCTGTGTTATTTGCTGTTATCTTGCGTTGTTATTTTCTGTTACATTCTGTGTCGCATTATTAAGCGTGCTCGCCGGCCGGCCTCGCAGAGCCGGGACGGCCCGGGACGGGTCGCGGCGCTCGCGGCCCGGGGCGGGTCGCGGCGCATGCGCGGTCGGCGCGCCGCCGGCCCGCGGCCGGCGCCTATATAAGAGGCCGACCGAGTGACCTGAGTCACCTTTCCATGCTTCTATCCTCAGGATACTGAAATCCTTCTCCTCCACGCCGCAACCCCCCTCCGGGCTGGACAGGCAACTTTATCTCATGCGGGCTGCTCCCTTGGAGCGGCACCGCTGCTCCCGAGGGAGCGCACCCCGTAGCCGGGTGCAGTGAGTGCCTTGGGGCTGGGTGGCCTGTCCTCTGGACGGGCTCAGCCCCGGCGACTCACTAGGGTGCCTGCCCAGACCAATGTCTCCCCCTAATTCCTATCATCCTTCCGGCTCTGCAATGGTCTTGTCAGACCGAAAGGGCCTAACCCAACAAAACATTTAAAAAAAAATCAATGACCTGAGTCAGTTCAGGGTTCTTGCGCCCTAGCTGCACACCTCTCCTGGAGACTGGTCGGTGATCACGATACTGCCAGCCTTCTGTCCCATGCCCACTCCCATAGCCCGGTCGGACTTAGGAAATAGTAGGGGATGTTTCCAGGTTATATTCTGATTGTCTAATTGAGGGTGTTCAACCAACATTGTAATGTACATGTAAAATACATTGTAATTTAACGTACTGCCTATTATTAAAGCACTGACGTACGTAACATTTGGTGTCAGAAGTTTCTTTACCTTTCGCTGCCGGGCTCATAGCCATGACTGACGGGGGACCAGTGACCCGTTCCCAGTCCGCCCGGTTACCCACCCCCCTTCCATCGGGGGCTGGCCCCACCAAGGAGGAAGATATGCTCGACGGTGGTGCTGTTCTTCTGTCCGGCCGGGAGGAGTCCCTCCCTTCTGCCTCACGTAGCGGTACAGGTGAGCGGGTGGGTCCAAGTGAGCAGGCGGTTCCGGGAGAGCAGGCGGGTCCAGTCGATAATGCGACTGTTTTGGACGCCGTTCAGTCCCTGGGGAAAGCTTTGACGGACTATTCATTGCGGGTTGACATAATCGAGGAGCAGATGCATCAACTACGTTGTTCGGTCAACGCGCCAGTAGCAGGAGTTGTTGTGACTTCCCCTGGTGCGGTTGGTTCGACGCCGGGCGATCCGTCTCGGCTCACCTGTCGGGCTGATCCCGGACGGTCGGCGGCCGGGGATCGTCCGCACCCCGCCTGTCCTGGCCGCGCCTGTCCTGACACGGTCGGGGACATCCGTCGGTTTGCCAAGCCGGGCGAATTTGACGGTTCAGGCTCCTGGGAGTCCTTTATAGCTCAGTTCAACGTCATTGCATCAGCACAGCATTGGAGTGTGTCCGAGCGGCTCGCACTACTTGTAGCCTCGCTGAAGGGCTCAGCTCTCGAGCTGTTCGCCCGCCTTCCTGAGCATCAGCGAACTGATTTCACACACCTGAGTAAGGCTCTGGAGGACCGGTTTGGTGTGGCACACCAGGAACCATGGTTTCGTTCCCAGTTGCGCCGGCGGAGGCGGGAGGCGGGTGAAACTCTGCCACACCTGGCGCAGGAGATTGAAAGGATGGTTTCGTTAGCTTATCCTTCAGCATCGGTCGATTTGAGAGATTCACTGACTTGCGACCACTTCCTGGATGCCTTGGGCGACGCCGAACTGCATATCGCGGTTAGACAGAGCCGCCCATCTACATTGCCTCAGGCACTGGCTAGTGCTGTGGAGATTGAATCTGTCCGCCGAGCAGCCGGCCTGACTTCTCTTCCTGCGGTCTCAGGTGCTCTTATTCGACAGAGCCACACTCCTCAAGGACAGGCTGATTCCGATGAGCGGGCAGACCAGGCTGAACCGCCAACAAAACAAATGTTCAGCGAGATTCTGCGCGCTCTTCACGTTCTCCAAAAGTCTTTGAGGGAATCGGCTCGGTCTGCGAATACCGGCCGGTCCTCGGCCGCAGGGCGACAGCCGACCGGGGCATGCTGGGAGTGCGGGATGGTTGGGCATTTCCGCCGCCAGTGCCCTCGCACACGGAACCAGACTAGTGCTGGACCCACAGCAGGGCAGGGAAACGAACAGTGACCGACCGTGTGGGAAAACTGTCGGTCGATAAATCCACTTCCCCACCAGTTGCAAA